GATTCAGCTGCCTCCTGCACACTCCCTACTGGAGTGTACATGCCCTTGACCAGAATCGAACCTGGGACCCTTCAGTTCGTAGGCCGATGCTCTATCCAGTGAGCCAAACCGGTTAGGGTGCAATGAATATTTCTGTAAGCACACTTTAGCTCCATCTCTCAAATCTCAGCCTACTATGTTTTCATTTGGTATGAAATACTTAAAATTTTTTTTTTGATTTTTTTCTTTTATTTGTGGGTTATTTAGAAATTTGTTATTAAGTTTCCAAACATTGGAGAGCTTTCCAGATATCTTTCTCTTACTGATATATTATAAATGTGTTGTATGCACTTGTGAAAAAAAGTGTTTCTCCTGTTTTTGAGTGGAATGTCTTATAATTTTCATTTAGGTCTGATTGTTTCAGTGTTCATATTTTTACTGGTTTTCTGTCTGTGTTCTGTAAGTTTTTTCAAGACATCTTTATGCCTGCTTTTTGATTTGCAGTGTTGTATCTTTTTCCTTTTTTTATTTCAGTTGGAAAAAGTGCTACACATTTTTTTTCTTCAAGTTCATTGATTTCTTTTCCCTATGTTATATTCAGTCTGCTGATAATCCATTGATTATCATTTGTTGTTGTTTTTTTAATCCTCACCCAAAGATATTTTTCCCCCCATTGATTTTTAGAGGGAGTGGAAGGGAAGGGGAGAGACACAGGGAGAGAAACATCCATGTGAAAGAGACACACTGGTTGCCCCCTGCATGCACCCCTACCAGGGATGGAGCCTGCAGCTGAGGTACGTGCCCTTGACCAGAATTGAACCCAAGACCCTTCAGTCCGTGGGCTGCCGCTGTAACCACTGAGGCTCTAGGGCTCATTTTCATTGATTAGCATTTTCCCCCTGATACTGTGTTTTATTTCTTGCATTTCCATTTGTCTCATTTTTATAGTTTTTATTTTTATCTCTGTGAAGTTCCATATTTGTTCAGACATGTTTTCCACCCTTTTCTTTAAAATGTTAGGGCTGTTTTAAAGTCTATTTGATAACTCCAAAATATGGGCCATCTTTTTTTTTTTTTCTGTCACATTATTTTATTTTTTAATTATTTATTTATTTTTGGTGATTTTTTTCTTTTCTTTTTTAAAAAATTTTGTTTTATTGCTTAAAGTATTACAAACAGTATCACATATGTCTCCTTTTTTTTCCCCCCCTTGACCTTCCCCTGGCCTCATACAAGTCCTTCGGTTGATCTCTTACTCCCCTCCCTCCTGCCCCCCAACCCTCCCTGGCCTTCCGCTGCAGTTTGACAATCAGTTTGAGGCAGCTCTGCCTCTGTATCTATTATTGTTCAAAAGTTTGTAATGGTCTTTATTATCCATGAATGAGTGAGATCATGTGGTATTTTTCCTTCATTGACTGGCTTATTTCACTTAGCATAATGCTCTCCAGCTCCATCCATGCCGTTGCAAATTGTAAGAGTTCCTTCTTTTTTACAGCAGCATAGTATTCCATCGTGTAGATGTACCACAGTTTTCTAATCCATTCATCTACTGATGGGCACTTAGGCTGTTTCCAGATCTTAGCTATGGTGAATTGTGCTGCTATGAACATATGGGTGCATATATCCTTTCTGATTGGTGTTTCTGGTTTCTTGGGATATATTCCTAGAAGTGGGATCACTGGGTCAAATGGGAGTTCCATTTTTAACTTTTTGAGGAAACTCTATACTGTCTTCCATAGTGGCTGCACCAGTCTGCATTCCCACCAACAGTGCACGAGTGTTCTTTTCTCCGCATCCTCTCCAGCACTTGTCGTATGTTGATTTGTTGATGATAGCCATTCTGACAGGTGTGAGATGGTACCTCATTGTTGTTTTGATTTGCATCTCTCGGATGATTAGTGACTTTGAGCATGTTTTCATATGTCTCTTGGCCTTCTATATGTCCTCTTTTGAAAAGTGTCTATTTAAGTCCTTTGCCCTATGGTCCATCTTTATGTCTTGTTCTATTGACTGCCTTATCTATTAAATGTAGTCATTATTTTTCTTATTTTTTATGTGTGTGTGTGGTACATTTTTATTGGATGCTGGACACTCATTATTTTTCTGTGTGAACACTAGAAACTGAGGTAAATATCTTTGTGCTTAGTGTGGACATACCTCTTCTTTCAGTTTAATGTACCTCATTTTGGGGAGAGGAGTTAGTGGCTGAATCAGTGTGTTCTGTATTTGAGATGGGTTTATATTGCTATAGTTATCTTCAGTGCTCAACAACTTTGCATTCCTTCAGCAGATGACTGCTGTTAACAATGGGTATAAAGTGGTTTTGCCCATTTTTCCTGCTTCACTTTTAGCTTTCAGTAGACTCTGCTTGCTTATACCACATAGTGGTCTATTTTTTGCTCTTGTGCTCTCCCTCATCTATAAACAACTGTTTCTTGTCACTCAGTGCCTGACTTGTGGGAACCACGGTTTTCTTAGTTTTCCTCCTAAAGTCTTAGTATTAATAGTAGTATTAGACCTTGAGCCCCTAGTCTCAGGGATGGGTTTTCCCTCAGTGAGCCTGCCTCTCTCTCTCCCTAGAGGAGACTGAACTTTGTCCTGCATAGGCAGGATGTTTTGGCAGGAGCAGATTGTTTTTTTTTTTGCTTTTTATCAATGTAATATCCTTGGCCCAAGGCTGTTTTTGGTTGCTATGTATCTAGGTGACTTTATTCTCAGATAACATCGTGTTATTTAGTCTTGCCAACTCTGTATTTTATACTGTTACTTTATTACATACTTTATGTTTAGGGATGGCCCAGTGTATGAAGTTGAGAAGTTTGGTCTAAGAATGGAAAAGCTGTTTACTTGCTATAAATGATGTACCTACAATAAAAGGAGAACAAGTTTTTTAACCCTTTAAAAGTGTTTTTTAAAAAGATGATTGTGATATTTGGTTTTTATTACATCATTCCTCAGCAGGACTATGCTATGAATGTAGCAAGTTACTTTTTCTTACATAATGGGGTACATGAAGTATCCAGTTATATATATTTTTCTTATTTGAACTTTTATTCATCATTCATGGATATTTGAAAAACATTGATATAGAACATAAAGGTCTTATATATATAGCTGTACTTCTAAATATGAGCATAGGTTTCAAAAATATTTTTTCTCCAGGGTGAATAGATAACATATATGAAACAAAGCTTTTAGTTTAACATTGCCTTCCAAAGTTATAGCAAGAGTGTCAGCTGGTATTTTTTGACATTTCGATGGTTGGAGTTTATTTTCACCTCTTGAAAGAAATTTATAAGAAATCAGTGCTTTGAATCCATATTGAATTTTTAGTTAGGCAGAGTTCCTCCTCAGATGGCTAGGTCATTTAAACCTTTGAGTAAATTGGAGATCAATGTATGAATCTCAGATCTGTCCTGAACTTTTTGCTTATTTGGCTAAACTCTTGACAACATGGTTCTAAGAGATCCAGTTGGCAAGCTCCCCACTTTCATAGTGTTATAATGAGAGGAAAGAACAAAACAAAACAGAAAATATTAAGAGTTCTATACATATGTTTTAAGTTGAGGCAAATATACATAGCATAAAATGGACCTTTTTAACAAATCTTAAGCATACATTTCAGTGGCATTAAATTTGTTTACATTGTCGTGTAACCATTACTGTCATCTACCTCCAGATCGATTTTCACCTTTCTAAACTGAAACTCTACCCATTAAACACTAACTCCTCATTTACCCTCACCCTAGCCTTTTTGATTTCTGTCCTTAGGAATTTGACTAAGGAGCATTACAGTTTTAAGGGACTGTAGATATTCAAACTCAAATTGGTCTTTAAGCAGTTAGGAACTAGGATCGCTCTAATTTTGCTCACTGCCCCAGTTTAGAGAAGTTACAGATTTTGAAGGAAGTAATGGCAGAGACGGTAAAGGTCACAGTTGGGGAGGAGAAACACTAATCTTGTTGCATGTGAAATACACTTGAAATTTTGGTTGTTGCTGTTGGAATGTAAATCTCCCTATAAGTGAGTGTAGTGGTTTTAAGAGGATGTGATTATGATAAAAGATTTGGATTAGATAACCCACAACAGATCCTAAAATTTGGAGACACATATATGAATCCCAAAACTGTCCTATCTGGCTCTGTGAAAGTATATTTTGTTCTCTTCCCTGAAATGCAGAAATCAATATTAGGATTTCTGGCCATGATACACATGTTCAGTTCTTCAAAATAATAAAAATCCATGAAAAGGAAGAATTTAAAACGACTTGTTCAGAACTAATTAGAGAGCATTGGATCTTATAACTCTGCTCTTTAGCAGATAAGGCTTTGAGAAAACTGCTATTTGTATTTTGTACTGTGCATCCCTTGTACTGCAGTTCTTTGCTTGAAAAAAAATATAGGAAAAACCAAAAAAGAAAAGAAACAGTAAGACAAAAAAGTAAGGCTAAAATTTTTTCTGCTTGAGGGTTTTGGAAAAACACAGGTGATGTATTTTCGGATTGTGTTTCCTATGTCTCAGTTAGTTGTGGTTACAGATTCTCAGGGGATTCTCCCACACACTCCATCCCCAAGCAGGTTTCTCTGCTGTCTCCTTTGTTCTATATGTTTATTTTTTATTCTCTTTATTTATTACTTCCCAGAGTTTCTCCCTTTATTTTGTCAGTGAGACCAATGCTTTAAATCCACATTGAATTTTCCATATTAAAATTCCTTTCATCCTGACTCAGCAATGCATTTAAAAATGTTTTAAATATTTTATCCATCATTTTGGTTGTAGTTAGGACTGTTGTTCAAGATATCTAGCCTGCCATAGAATGGAAATCTTCACATATTAAAAAACATACCTTATAATGTATTAACCTATATTCCTCTGGACAACCCCTCTCTCTCATTTTGCATTTCAGTTCTTAAAACTTAAGAAAAGTTTTTATAAAGTTTACAGAATTTAAAATATCTTTAATTAAAGTGATTATTGTATTGATTATTGTATTTCTGAAAATACATATATTTATTTTATAGCTACTTGAAGGAAATTTTGCAAAAGAAGTTAGCCATGAAATGGATGGACTTATTTTTCAGCCTACTGGAGTAAGTTCATTTGTGTGTGTGGGGTGGTGGTGGTAGTGGTGGTGGTGGTGGTGGTGGTGTGGTAGATATGTATGTATCTATAAAGTACATTTTTTCTCAGACACATTTATTTTGTATTAATTATTTCTGTAATCACTGTTTTTCCTTAAAACAAACTGTTATAAAAGATTTCATTTATACTGAATATATAAAATAGTGAAATGAACAGTTTTTTGCTTTTTCACTCAGTGTAAGAAATAAATATAGCTGGTTGTTATTTTTCAAGAAAGTTAGTCTTTAATATAATAATCTTATAAAATGAATGTTAATTTATGTTTCTTTACTATAAATCTATCAATAATATTATATAAATGTTTATTTCTTACTGTAGGCCAATATACCTTTAAGTATTAATATTTCTAAAACTTAACTTTGCTGTAGATGAATAAAATTCAAAGAGTTATCTCTACTTGAAGAAAAATATAATTCTTTGAATATTTATTCCATATCAAATTTCTGAAACTCATTAAAGGACTTTCAACAACTTAGTGGTCAAATCATATATTTGGAGTAAGTTTTGTTTTACTCTATGGTAAGGTTTCTCAACCTCAGCACTATTGATGTTTTTGACAAGGTAATTCTTTGCTGTGGGGAGCTATCCTGTGCATGACAGGATGTTTATCAACATCTCCTTGGTTTGTTCTTACTAGATGCCAGTATTACCTCTCCTTTCCATCCCTCTAGGTCAGTGATGGCGAACCTTTTGAGCTCGGCATGTCAGCATTTTGAAAACCGTATCTTAACTCTGGTGCCGTGTCACATATAGAAATTTTTTGATATTTGCAACCATAGTAAAACAAAGATTTATATTTTTGATATTTATTTTATATATTTAAATGCCATTTAACAAAGAAAAATCAACCAAAAAAATGAGTTCGCGTGTCAGTTCGCCATCACTGCTCTAGGTTGTGACAACCAAAAATAATCCATTCACTGTCTAATTTCCCCTGGAGAACAAAATTGCCTTTACTTGCAAACCTGTGCTCTATAGGGCAGTGTTTCTTAAATGTGACCTGTGGTCAGGAGCATTTGCACCACACAGAAAGTTGTTAGCTATGTCACTCACCCGAGATGTGCTGATTAGAAACTCTGGGAATGCAGTCCAGCACTTTGTGCTTTAACAAGCTCTCCAAGTGACTAATGCATGTTCAAGTGTGAGAACCACTACTCTACAGGAAACGGTTGTATTTCATGTGCTGCCCCTCAGCATATGTTGCATTAAAAATTTTTTATTTTACTTATTGTTGACAGTATTACAAATGTCCCCTATTCTTACCCCCTTTGGCTCCCTCCACCTAGCCCCCACCCCACCCCAAGTCTTCACTGCACTATTATCTGTGTCCATGGGCTATGCATTTATGCACATGTTTTTTGGTTAATTGTTAACCCCACCGCCCCCCACCCCGAAATCTGTCAGTCTGTTCCATGCATCCATTCCTCTGGACCCATTTTGTTTGTCAGTTTATTTTGTTCATTAGATTCCACATATAAGTGAGGTCATGTGATACTTGCTTTCACTAACAGCTGCCCTTGCCAAAACTGATAGAGGGGGAAATCTTCTGTGGTCTAATGAGGAGGAGATGGAGGAGAGTTAGACGCTGGGGACAGAAATTGTAGAAAATGCTATCTTAGGAAATATGGAAGTTAGATCTTTTAAGTTTCAGTATTTTCTAGGCCTAATCTCCATTGGAAAGATTTAAAGTCTAAATATAACAGTAACTACAGTAAATTTCATTGTGTTAAACTCACGGTTCAGACCCATGCATATGTGAGATTTTGGTGGTATGTAAGAGAAGTGGCCTGACAGGTGAGTCTCTGTGATGTCCAGTATAGTCAGTTGATTTATTAGTCTATTCCCATTCTAGCAACCGCACTTGTTATTACAGTGATTTTGTAAGTGATATCTGGTAAGGCAAGACTCTCTGCTCTTTGCCAGGATTTTCTTAAATATTTGTGGATATTTGGTTTAACATATAAGGTTTAGAATCAGTTTGTCATATTACCCAAAAATTCTGTTGGGCATTTATTTGGAATTGATTTGCATTTAGATTAATTTGGAGAAAATAAATGTTTTTACAGTGTTAAATTATCTTATGAATATGGTATAGCTCTTTTCAGGTCTTTTTCTGCTCTCTAATTGAGTTGAAATTTTTAATTGTTTCTAATCCAATTTCTAAATATTTAATATTTTCCATTTTTATAGTAAATGGTGACTTTAGAAGAATTTGCTACTTCTAGTGTGCCGTCACACTGTTGATTATTTTATTGGTTCACAACCTTGCTGAACACTGTTAGTTCTAATAATTGTCTAATTATATATATTGGCCAGAACCTCTAGTACTGGTTTAAACAATGGCTCTCATTGGATGGAGGAAAGGGAGACATTTATCCTTTATTTCAATTTCAAAGGGAATGTGGCTAAATTTTCTTCATTAAGTATGTTTTTGGTAGATTTCTGTTAGATATCTTTTATCATGTTAAGAAATTTTTGTTTTTACAAAGGGTTTTTTTTTTTTTTTCCCCCAATCAGAGGTAGATTTTGGGAGTTAACAAATGTCTTTTCTGTTACCTGTTATCTATGCCTTTCTGTTGAGAGTATCATGCCATTTTTCCCTTTTATGACATTCATGTAGTAAATTACAGTAATTTCCTCATGTTGATCCATTCTTGCATTCTGGGATAAATGCTACTTGATCATGTTATATATAATTTTTAATATACCTTTGGATTTGGTTGTAATAGTTTTTTGAGAATTTTTGCTACCTTATTTCTTACAGTTCTTTTCTCTATTTTTTAATATATTCAAAATAAAAGAGGTAATATTATGGAAAAATTATATAGGCTCCAAGTAACATTCTTATAATACATGGCCATGATATTAAAAGTCAATTAAACTATCATGGCTTATACTGGAAAATAGAGTAGTTCCTTCTCCTACCCTTCCCCAGACCCAAAGTGCACTCCTAGGAGGTAATCATTGTTTGTTGTTTTAGCTGCTTTTTTTCTTCCTTTATTTGCAAAATCTATTTATGCTGCTCGCTCTTGGTGTTTCGTTTTGCACATGATCTGCTTACTTTCTACTAGAACAAGATTGAGCTTTCTAACTCTACCAACACTCCCTCACCCTCCTCCTCTGTATTATACAATTGTAATTATTGCACATGGTTGGTTAAATGAATATTCAGTATTTGTATTTCTATGGTAATATAAATATTGTTCACATCTGAGTCAACTAGTATATTTTTCTTTCTTAGAAAACTTTTCTTGCCTAGAGTTTGGAATTGCTTAGTCGCTTGTTATGATTATTACTACTTCTTTCCTTAAACTCTGTAAAACAACTGTTTAATTTTTATTACCTGATAAATGGTAATATATCCAGTCCAGTTTTTACTTGAAGGCATTCCTTCTGAAGCCCTCACTTTGTCTCCCCCTTCTAAATCACAGCACATTGTAATATTGCAGAGATCCCTTTGTACTTCTTAGGTTCTTCCTTGAGATTTTTAACTTATCCCATGTCCTGATTCCAGAAAGGTGAAATTCTGATGAGTTCATAATTGATTCCACTTTTTGTGCATCTGCTGCTTTCATTACTACACGCAGACAGTGTTAAAGATAGGTATTCCTAAGTTACCCTGTTAGTCTGATGGTAATATATTAGGGTGTATGTATAAAGGAAATGGAAAAGTAGTTGTGAAGTGTCTTCCATGTTACCTTAGGCATGGACAGTTAATCTCACAGCTCTTTAAGCAACACTCACACATACACATCACATCATAAAATGATTTAATTAATTTTAGACTGGCTTGGTCAAAGTGATTTCTATCTTCATACAAACCTTTGTCTTTCCCATGACAGTCTAGGTCCTGGTCAAGAATCCATATCATTTCTTTCCCTGACATGGAGTTTCTTGGGTTCTCTGATACCAGCTGATCTTATTCTGAGGCCTCCTTACCAAGAGAGATGTAACATTTTGACGGAAAAGAGCAACAGTTTGGGCCCTAATGAGATCTAGGATTTCTGTGCATACTCGGTCTCCCCTGGTCTCTATTCCACAGGACTTATGGAGCAGTGGTTTGCTTTTTTTATTTTTAAATATATTTTATTGATTTTTTACAGAGAGGAAGGGAGAGGGATAGAGAGTTAGAAACATCGATGAGAGAGAAGCATCGATCAGCTGCCTCCTGCACACCCCCTACTGGGGATGTGCCTGCAACCAAGGTACATGCCCTTGACCGGAATCGAACCCGGGACTCTTCAGTCCCCAGGCCGACGCTCTATCCAGTGAGCCAGACCAGCTAGGGCTGGTTTGCTTTTATGATGCCAAATTTAATGTTATTCTCTATCTTTCTCCTTGAACAGTTGTTACTTAATTGCCAAATATCTTTAGGACTAAAACAGGTAACTTAAATGATTTTTCTCTAAGCAAAAAAAAAACACAGAAAACTCCTTTGAACATATTTGCCAGTGATGCATCTGATAAGGGTTTAATACCCAGAATTTATAAAGAACTTATACAACTCAACACCAAAAAACCCAAATAATCTATACTAATAAAAGGGTAATATGCTAATTAGACCAGGAGACCTTCCAGGAGACCTTGTGGACGTCCTTCCAGACAAAGCCATGGTGGTGAGGCCGAGGCAGAGGTGGTTAGGGGTGATCAGGCCAGGAGGGGAGGGCATTTGGGGGTGAGCAGGCCGCCAGGGGGGCAGTTGGGGGCGAGC